TTGCCAATCTGGATTGACCACTTTTTCAATTACATGTGAAGAATGCTTTTTTTAATGGATAACTGGAAGAAGAAGTCTATATGGAGATACTATCAGATTTTGAAAATCAAGTCACTAAGAAAGGTTTGTAGACTCAAAGTTCCTACATGGATTCAAATAATCGCCAAGAGCATGGTTTGATAAATTCTCTAAGACAATCAAAAGGTTTGAGTATAATTAATGCCAAACAGATCATTCTCTGGTTGTCAAGCATTATCTTTCAGGAAAAAGACAATCCTTATTGTATACATAGAGACATAATAGTTACAAGGGATGACACAAAGGAGATGCTTGGATTAGAAAAGGTTTTACCTAAAGAATTTGAGATTAAAGACCTAGAGAATTTCAAATATTTCTTGAAAATGAAAATTGCTAGGTCAATGAAAGGAATTTCAGTTTCTCAATGGAAATATATGTCGGGTCTTTTAAAAGAGACTAGAATGCTTGGAAGCAAGCTCGCAGACACACCCGTAGATCCCAAAATTAAATTGGGAAGTAAAATTGATAGTACTTCAATTGTAAAAGAAAGATACTAATGTCTAGGAGGTAAATTGATTTACCTCTTATATACTATACCAAATATTAGTTTTGCTGCTATTGTGATAAGTCTATTCGTGAGAACCTAACAGAAGAACTTATGGATGTGGCTTATTTTTCAAGAAAAACATAAGTTAAGAAATTAAAATATATACTAATGCAGATTGAGCTGGTTATATAACTGAGAGAAGATCCGTCTTTGGATATTGTACGTATTTATGAGGAAACCTAGTTACTAGGAGAAGGGAAAAGCAGTCATTGTATCAAGAAGTTGTGCTGAGGCTGAGTTTAGAGTTTTAGCACATGGTATCTGTGAAGAAATGTGACTATAAAGGATATTGGGTGAATTATTGAATTCTCTCTTCAGAACCTATGAAAGTGTTATGTGACAATTAGTCCACAATAAGTATAATAAAGAATCTAGTTCATCATGATTTAAACTAAGTATGTTGAGAATGATAGACATTTTTTAAAGAGAAAATAGAGCTAGGAGCACTATTCTTGTGACACATTCAATCTTGTCCTCAAACCGCTGATATTTTCACCTATGCATTACCTAAAAGACTTTTGAAGAGTTGAGTTTCAAGTTTAGTTTGCTCAACATCTTCAAACCAGCTTGAGGGGAAGTGTAGGAATCTGATTTCTTGTAAAAGTCCAATTCTTATCGAGATTGGTACCTTTAGGAATATATCCCTATAAAAAAGAATTGTAATTGACTTCCATAATTAGAAGATCTTTTGTTTTTATGAGACTGATTTGTATTTAATTTCCTACTAAAACTCTTTTTAATCTTCTTCTATACATATGTACATGTCGTAAATTAAATATCATGAATAAAAATTTAATAAATAGAAAATTTAGTTACGATCTTCACTTTCTAATGTAAAAAATAAATCAGCTCCCACTATGAAATTTATCCTTTCCTATATCTTATAAGCCCAAGAGTAATTTTACAACTCAGTTTCTTAGGTCTCTAATACTTTTATTGCCTGCAGTACATCATGCTTGCTTGATTTGGATGATTCACCATCTAACATTTATCAACAAGGAAAGTTTTTCCTTCATGTCTTTTCTTTCCTAGTTATTATCTTTTATTTTTGGGGAATGGCGATTTGGATAAGTTATGATGTTCTTTTTCTGTTCCTTGTTTTCTATTTTCAATTTTTAAAATCTTTGTTTATGACCTATATATTCTTTCTGATCATTTTAAGCTATAGAATCTGCATTTGGGCTTATTTTCTTTTCCAACTGGTTTTCTCAGGGGATGCTAGTGGACATGACACTTGAATTTCAGAGATTGGTTCCAATCATCGTTTCTTTTGTTGATCGCTTGTTAAGTTGTCTAAAGCATCAATGGTTGGGAGAATGCTTGCTTCAGACAATCGATAAGCATTTACTTTCAAGAGTCCCGATAGATTATGGATTAGTTTCTTACTTCCCAATATTTGATCGAATTGCTGAAAATGATACGATACCTCCTCGTAGATTGTTGGATCTGCTTACAAAATTTATGGCTTTCCTTGTTGATAAACATGGACCTCATACGGGAGTAAAGTCTTGGTCTAGAGGAAGTAAAGTTCTAGGCATTTGTCGAACCATGATGATGCACCATCAGAGCTCAAGATTGTTCCTTGGGCTCTCTCGACTTCTTGCATTCACATGTCTTTACTTCCCTGATTTGGAAGTTCGTGACCATGCTAGGTATGGTAACAAATGAATTAGCTCTGTCTTCCCTTTGGTTCTGAATGTTGATCTTCTTTTCCCTGGCACTTGATGCAGTTTTAGCATGCTCGGATGACAACTTAAGGAAAAAAAAACAAAAGTTGTGTTCAAGAAGATAATTAGTGACTTACAGTTGGATGCTATGATTTTTTTCCTTTTCGTTTTTTTTGCAATTGACCATGCTATATTGCAGGATATACCTGAGGATGCTGATTTGTGTTCCAGGATTAAAACTGAGAGACATGCTGAACGTTGGTGAGCAACTCCTTGGCATTTCACCAGCTGCACATCCCAGTTCGTTCTTCAATATTCAGTCACCTCGACATCGTCATCATGATTTCAATAAATCTAGTAGTATCCTGTCCTACATTCACCTTGAGCGAGTGATTCCCCTTCTTGTCAAACATCTTGGTCATTGTCCTTGTCATCTTTGGGTATTGGAAGTGACAAAAGTTGTTATTTGATAGTATGAGGGATAGCGAAATCCTGTCGATGAAGCGAACTAGAAGCAGTCTAAATTTTCAGTCATCAGAAAATGAAAAAAGTAATCTGTCAAGGGAGCCATTACGTGTTATGGACTCAAAGATCTCAGAGATCTTAGGAACACTCAGAAGATACTTTTCATGTATTCCTGATTTTAGGCATATGTCAGGGCTTAAGGTTAGAATACCATGTATCTTGAGATTTGAATCTGAGCCTTTCAATTGCAAACAGGAAGGTGACTCCTCTACTATTAGCTCAGATGGAGTCAATGCCTTTCCTGCTATATATGGAACTGTACTCAAATTTTCATCCTCAGCACCATATGGATCTATTCCCCCATGGCGTGTGCCTTTTCTTCTTGGTGAACCTCCCAGAAACAGTTATCTTTCTGGTGAAAATGTTTCTCTAGACGTTGTTCCGGTGGAAAATGGTTCTGGAGAATTCAAGGAAGGATTCAAAGCTTCTGTTATAATTTATTTGGAACCAAGGGAACCAACACCTGGTCTGGTTGATGTTTCTATTGAAACAAATGCAGAAGATGGTCAAATAATCTGTGGTCAGCTTCAAAGCATCATTGTGGGTATAGAAGACATGTTTCTCAAAGCAATGGTCCCATCTGGCATCCTAGAAAATCACATACCCAGTTATTACTCTGATCTGTTCAGCGCTCTATGGGAGGCATGTGGCACTTCTTCCAGCACAGGACGAGAAACCTTTCCATTGAAGGGAGGAAAGGGAGCTGCAGCAATCAATGGAACTCAATCAGTCAAACTTCTTGAAGTTCCTGCAGAGGTTCTGATCCAGGCTATAGAGCGATTCCTGGCACCCTTTGTTGTAAGTGTGAGTGGTGAAGAGCTTATTAATAGGGTAAAGGATAGAGGAGTAATCAGGGACATCATCTGGAAGGAAATACCCTCAGAATCTTTCCTTGTCTCCATTTCGGATGTGGATCGGGTCCCTGTTCATCTTCTTACTTACACTAGTGACAAAGATGAAAAAGAAATTCCTGTCAACATAAGCAAGAGGAATATAGGTTGCTTTAATGTATTGATTTTTCTTCCTCCAAGATTCCATTTACTCTTCCAGATGGAAATTAGTAACATTTCAACTTTAGTTCGTGTCAGAACTGATAACTGGCCATGCTTGGCTTACATTGATGATTACTTGGAAGGCTTGTTTTGGGTCTAGAAACAACACTTTGCTGTTCAAAGCACATTACTGAAGACCCAAATTCTCATGCTGTCCAATTCACTCAGCTGGTGAGAGATCCTTACCATTTTGTTCTAGATTATTTGGCCATATATGGGTAATAGTTTTTCTCCTTCCCCCAGAATAAAGTTCGGTGTATATAGCTCTATCTCTGTGAATGAGCCCTTGTCAGAAGTTTTAAATCTGACATGTTTTAACTTAAATTTCTTTGATAATTGTTTCTCTTTTTTTTTGGAGGGAGAATGACATCTCCGTTTTGTCATGGTAGTTAGAACAATTTTTCGTGTGAATCGTAAACTTGTAAACATCATAAATTTTTCTCTTTTGGTAAAAAGTGTAAACACAAGAATTTATTCAATAATAGTAACTTGCTTAGGATTCATGGTGTATCCAATAGGCACAACTTTTTTGGGAGAAAATTGGAGTTGATGTAACCAGTAGAGAATTTATTATTCTTCTCAATGTTTGAAGTTTGTTTGAACTTTTACATATTTCGTGGAAAATTTGTTGTCCTTGGAAAAATGAATATTTTAGTTAACGTCTTTGATAAACAAAAAATGGAGGTAGCTTTTTGTGATGGATTTATGGGAGGAACTGAGAAGCTGCTATTATAACTTGAAGAAGAGGAGGTTGAGGTCGACCATTGTTGCCGATTGCAACTGAAGTCAATCATTTTAATTTCGTATGGTAATTAGTTAATTTGTTGATTCAGTCATTGAATTTCTTTTTTAAATGTTGCTTAGTCATTTTCCTTTGGATAGCCCGAGAATGGCTCTTACAAAAAATTGTTTTTAATATGAAAAGTATTGGACAATCTTATCAATGAAAATAGCACTACTGGTCATAGCCTACATTTGTATCTTGAATCAATACAAATGTTAAATTTCACTACTGGTATATAGCCTACAATTATGCCAATATTTTATTCTTGAAATAATATTTTAAAAAATTTCTGTTTATATTTTATTTGTTTATTTATTACGAGATTTGTAAAAGATGTAGAAATTTACCTTTTGGAATGAATGATGTTTTGTGAGAGTTTTTTTTTTTTTTTTTTTTTTTTTGAAGATATTAAACTGGTATATATTTATTACTTGAAAATATTAAAAAAAAAAAAAATCTCAAGTTGCTTGGTCGAGACACGAGATTAATGGTCAAATCTCTATAAATTATAAATTATGCTCGTAATCTCTTTTAACTTATATATTCTATTTAGTTACAAGTTGTAAATCAATTTTAGATTATTTAATTAATTTGCTATTGGATACTTACTTTTTTTACTTTCAATTACTTTTAACTCCCTCTATCATGGCCTCAAACACTTATAGCATGATGAGGGAGGATGAAAAAATTCTGGATGTCATCACAAGGTTATTATTACATTCTTAATTTGATTAAGCTTAACATAACTAGATGAGTTTGTCCACCACCCATTTAAAATGTATATTTAGGATTTAATGAAGATTGAAAGATATTATCAAAATTCATAACAAAAGTTGAGAAAAAAAATTTGTATCTTGTTCCGCCTATCTAATGTATATTTTAAATTACAAGAGTTTTACTATATAATTTTTCAAGTTATGCTATCCAAAATTATTGTTTAGTGCTGTTTTAAATAATATTTTGTCCAAAAAATACTGTAGAAGTTATTTTTTCATATGATAGTGCAAATATGTTTGTTTGTGATATAAATAACAATCAATAAATATTTATTTATTTAATTGATGCTCGCTATGCTTTCGATGTGTTGGTTGCAATACTTCTTTGTCTTATTTGTCTATGATTTATTAACTAGATATTTGTCTCCTCATGTGAATTATAATTTTAAAATTAATTATATAATCATCAAAATTAATTTTATAATTTTTTCATTTTAGTCAGTTAAAAATGAAACTGTAATTTTATATTTAAAAAGTATTATTATTAGTATCGCATTTATTTTTTTATATTTTAAATTTTAAGTAGATAATAAATTGAAAATTTTATTTTGATATGAAATATATAATTATAATTAATATTATCACATATATTTGTTTTTATTTCAAAAAATAATAAAATACTTTGTAACATTTTTCCGTATAACTTATATATATATAGATATTTATTTATTTTTAACTTTTATAAAAATGAGGTAAGTATTTAATACGTAAATAAAATGCATTTCAAGAGCTATCAATACCCCTTTTTATGAGTATTATGTTTTAAGTTTGATATATAATTTCATCAGAATCTTAGTTTATGAATAATATTAAAGTTTGAATGATTTTGAGGTAATTATGAGAAATTTAAAAGTTGGAGTCAGAAAAGAAATTTAAAAGAAAAAAAATTTTTAAAAAAGAAAGAAGAGGTGTTGGGAAGAGAGAAGAAGAGAGTTTGAGAGAGAGAGAGGAGTCTTTAGAGAGAGAGAAATAGAGAGAATACAAATATATGAAAGACATAATATTTTAAAGAGAGAGAAATAAGTTATTAGAGAGAGAAGAAGAGAGATAGATCAGGAGAGAGATGGAACCCAAGAGAGAAAGAAAATAGAAAAGAAGATAAAATAATATGAGATTTATTCCAAAATTGCATTGTGATTTTGATTTGCAATCTATTATTTATAGACATGAAA